TAAAGTAGAACACGAATTTTCATTTTGTCCATCCAACATTGTCCCATTGTTCTAATTATTTATGGGCCCTTGAATCCTCATAAAGGACACAAGATTAATAAAGGATACCCCCTTAGGTGGTTAACTTTGCTGGGTTAGGAGTATTAAATAATTTTAAAATTTTAAAATATTATATACTTCAAATAAGAAAAAAAAAATAAAATCATTGAACCTATGCATAAATCAATGTTTTGAAAATCAGACCCGACATCGACTCTAATAAGACAAATGTCAATATCAGAAGGCCAAATCATATAGAAATAATGGTGAACCCATTGGTGCAAAATAAATATACCACAAAAAATGACAAACATAAAATTAAGGTCATGTTAGGATTTTGAGGAGGGTTTCTACTAAGAATAATATTCGAGTGTATCAAGTCGTTTTACCCTTTTACTATGTTAGAGAAGCAGCGTTTTTACTACTGGAGCCCTTAAAAAAAAAAAAAAAGTTGACGTTTTCAGATATTTAAAAAATAAAAATAAATAAAAATCCAAAAAATTGTGAAAACCAATCCTAGGTCGACAGCCAGTTTTTCACTCCAAGAATTTAATCAACAATTGGACCGGCATCAGATTATTTAAGTTGAACTAGTTGATCCGATCTATTTTCGAAACATCGATAAAAATACACAAATCTCGTTCAAATACAGCGTTGTACACTCTTAAGGAACTAGATCCCTCAATCATCACGAGTCCTGTTCATCAAATTCCACATGTATTAATGATTTCCACTAGAAACTTGAATGCAAAAACTCAACACACAACCGAACTAATGAAAGTCCATATTACATATTGTTTCCACTCAAGATTATGCAATACTCGAAGATTAGAGAAATGAAGCATGAATTACAGATTCAAGTTTGGAATTCTTTTGGTTTAATGTAGTTTTGGGGTGGAGGGACGAAGGTCGATTTCTTGTGTCCAGATGGATCGATCCTGAATATGCAAGTGCCAATAGGTCTGAGCCACCACGTCAGGGTCCATGCACCCATCTCCTCCACTGAATGGCTGTTCCCCGATTGTTCTGTGCTGTGACGTCGATGGCATAAACCCACTACCAAGTTTACACAATTGGTAAGCAATAAGTAATCAACCACTTGATCTGCCACACATATTTTGAGTAGCTACATGGACATAGAAATGCAATTATAGGGTTTTATGGACCAATGTGCATGATGTTGCAAGATCAAGTTATATAAACAGACAGTGAGATTTCATGGATTGATGTCCTCACGTCGTGAGACTGTTTGTACCATGCGCCAAAATACTCGATTAAGTAATAATTGTTTTTAGGCTGTCAAACAAGCTATTCGGAATAGTACTACCTATACACAGAACTCATCACACCCACTTCTCAAAGAGAGCTGCTTCATGCATAGAAATTTGAATTATTCCAGGTGTAGCAGAAATGTATAAATTTTGTATAAATGTACCGATTTGTTGACAAATGCATTCATTTGAATTTCAAATTTAGAAATTCAAATCAATGGACATATGACAAAATCATCTACCCATGAGCTTGGTTCGTCAAAGTTCGGCCCATAGACGGCTTGGCCTCATTTTGGGACGATCCCTAAACGAGCCTGAGCTGAGCGGGAGGTTCTTGCTCAGCTCGAGCTTGCGAAAGTTCGTGACCCCGTGAGCTCATAAAATATTGTGAACAAAAAAAAGTCAAAAAATTTTTTTTAAAAATTTCTTGAGCTCGTGGGTTGGCTCGGCTCAGGTCTTGAGCTCATGAGCTTGTGGGACGATAGCACGAGCTAAGCTCTTGAGTAGATGGCAGCTCAACCCATTGCCACCGCTAAATAGACTCCTAAATAGACTCCCATTAGGCCATAGTTTAGCGTTCATGCTTTTTTACATCAAAACCCAGGATGATGTCAATATATTAGCTTCGAAATACATGCTTTGGTACAGTGACTTTAACTATACCTTTCTTGGCTTATCATTCACTAAACCAAAATGACACGAATAGTCCAAACCAAGAAATAACCGTATATATTTTCTTTATGACAATTCTTGACTCGGTTCAAATACTTTCTTCTAAGATAATCTGAAGGCAGAGACAACTCTTGATACTATTTGTCCAACATTATACAATTTTATCTTAACACTTGGGATCAATAATTACATTCAAGATGACTCGTCTATGACCGTTGTTACGATAATATTCTGCAATAAACATCATCTTTTTATCTTGGTAGTGCATCCCCATAAGAGGAGGTGGGTGGGGTGGATGGAGGGAAACTATATAAAACTATAAATGTATGTGTATATTCTATTTGATAAGGAACTCCACATACTTGCGTAAGAACTTGTGGATAAAGGGAAAAGCTACTAAGATCTTGTGGATAAGGAATCTTTTGTAAGGTTCTTGGCAAGTAGATTAAAAATCATAGACCATTGATCATTTCATATAAATGCCATAGATTTAGTAAGCATCGTTGCTCATCTTATGTTAAGCACAAGTAACATGTCATATACATTTATTTGTGAATTTTTTTATTTATTATAAGCACACCTCAAAATAATTTAAGTCCGCCCTAATATAATTTCGTAATATGCATATATGAGAGGAGACAAGTTCGAACCCAGACAAACGAGATGTGCCAATGATGCCATCGATGATGACATGTGCCACATGGACTCCTTGATGTTGGAACTCTTTTGCCAAGCATTGTGATAGCCCTCTCATAGCAAACTTCCCACAACCTAAAAACATTGTAGTATCAAAACAACATTAATGACCACATACTCAATAAGACGGATCAGATTATATTGTTCAGTACTGTGTATCAAGCCTATTCAGCATAAGTTTATTAACTCACTCAAGTTGGGGTAACCAGCAATGCCGTTAAGAGAAGCAGAACAACCGGTGAAGAGAATTGTCCCTCTCCCTCTATCCACCATGCCCGGAAGTACCTGAAATTCCCATTTCCATTCCATGCACAATATTATAACCCAAATAGTCATAAAAAAATTTCCCTAATTTAAAACCCTAATGATCAAGATCGAATCCATCAAAAGTAGTCACGACTAATAGGAAAACTGAAATCAAACCAGAACCAGATTTCACTCAGATTTGATTATAAGAACCTGTTGGGCACAGTGGAAGGGGCCGACAGACGAAACTGCAAGGGAATTCTCGAAATGATCGACTCTAACGTCAGTAAATTTGTTGGGTTGGCCTGAAACGGGTTGGTACGCATTGTAAACCAAAACTTCAACAAAACCCAATGAAAGAACCGCTTCAAATGCCTCTCTTATGCTTCGAGAATCCGAGCAATCGATTCGGATTGCAAATACTTGTGCCTTTTCTTCTCTAGCTATTTCATCAGCAAATTTTGACAATCTACCTGTCTCAATTAATACATTAAATTACACACATATATAGAGAAAAATGATGTACACACACACACACACACACACATATGAGGAGGTACTGGCCTAGGTCGCGGGCGAGGATGGCGACAGTGTAACCTTCATGGGCGAATTTGCGGGCGATGGACCGGCCGAGCTTTGGGCCGACGCCGACAATGGCGGCGATGCCCTTGGACGAGGCAGAGCTGGCCATGCTACGCATCCTTTTTAGATTTTGTCTAAATACCTAGCCAAAATCAGAGCTATATATATTTATATAAACGCTGGTTTGATTAAACCTGCAAACAATTGAAGTCAACTATCTGGTTCTTGATGTCAAAATCCCTCCAATTTCTAGTTTTCTATATATGTATATATATCTTGATGTGTGTGTGTGAGTATATAGTTGCAGTCAGTGTCTGAGTTTTGGTGGTTCCTAAAAGAAAAACAGCGGTGAAGAATGAAAATGACTCTTGTGAAAGAAGTTCATTCTCTCTCTGTATCCAACCTGGATTTGCTACTATACATGCACAAGTTTATATGTATTTTACGTATTGAAAGCAACAAAAAAGGTTAATACAACATGTGTACTCTTAAGACTTGTCCTGTCCTCCAATAAAAGGGAGCCCGCGTTTCACTCCAAATCAGAAGCAAAAATTAGTGTTTGGCAATTGTCTATAAAATTAAAACTACTTTTAATTCAAATATTTATTTATCCATAGCTCATTTTCATCTTTATATAAATAAAACTTTCCAAATATATGCTAAATATTTAGCATTTTTTTTGGTATAGTTATATGAATAATATAGCGAAAAGGAAACATTATTGAATTCACCAAAACTATTGTAAGTAGTACTTATGCAATCGCACTTGTATTTGGATTCAGTTAACTATATGAGGTAATAAAGATCGAATGTATGACGTCGGCCATTACCTATAGATCAATTAAATAGCAAAAAATAAATAAATAAAAAGTAAATAAATAAATATGTGTATATATATATATATATATATATATATGGAAAAGACACATAGGAATATGCAAGATTTATTAAGGTTCGACTCAATGTGAGATTAATTCTTCTTCCACTGTTACAATAATTCATTATCATCAAAAGAATTTCACAAGAAAAAACACGCACTCTATGTTTTATGAACTCTTTCTATTTTTTATATTAATATAATCCCTATTTATAAAAAAAGAATTAGAAAAAAATAAAAAATGCAAGTGTAAAATTCTTAAATTGAAATTAGATCGATTTGTGAACTAGCTTTGCACAATAACAATAATTATACTCTACAACTTAACAATAAAATTAAAGCTCGACTTATCAATGAAGTTCTATAGAATTTATTGCAAAAAATTTCTCAATATCAACTCAATGGAGCAATCAACTAGGCATGTTCCTAGCAAAATATAAAGGTTATTTTTTTATTTTTTTATTGTTTAAATGTTGATGTATAAGAATAGTGTAAATCATAGTAATTAGAAGAATAGTTAAGAAAATAACTCTACGGAATAGTAGACTCACCAAACACACCCCGACTGATTAGCCTTTGCCCTTATCGTACATCGTGTCTATCATACATAATCAAGGGAAAATTGCACAATTGGTCCACAACTTATTTACTTAACAATTAGTTGGTCCCCAACCTTTAATATCAGTTAGTCCCAACCTTTCATTATTTTTCGAAAATTTAATTTCCAATAACAGAAATTATCTTTATTAAATTGTTAGTGAAGCCTCATGAAGAACGTGTCCCACTTCAAATTTTCGAATATCCATTCAAATTGAAAAATAAAATCTAACTTTACAAAATTGAATATGAGAGGGTCGATGACGTAGTAGAGATGTGAAATGTTCCTACCATGGAAATTGATTGTGCAATAGCAACAAAAATTGTTGACTAACTCATTTTGAGAAGTTGTGTTCAATTTTCCCAATAGGAACATGACAGATACATTAAGATAGTGTTTGATAACACTGTAATTCCCAGGAAAGTGGAATTTGATTTCCACTTTTCACAAATTCCATTGTTTGATTGCACATTTTTGCCATGGAAATCAATTTTCAGGTTTTGCTACCACGCGCTTGAATTCCTTGTTTTTGAGGAATTTCAATTCTTATGGGTTTGGTAAGAATTGGAATTCCATGCAATTTTATTTTATTTTTTTATTTTTTATTTTTATTAGCAATGAAAATGAATTCTAAGATTTATTGTAAAAAAATATTTCCTTTTAATTGACAATTTTCATGTAAAACAAAGTCAAACGAACATCCAAAGATAGATGATTTTCTTGAATTTTTTTTTTTTTTGGATTTTGGCATTGAAAAAAAATTTCATTCCCAATACCAGTAAATTTTATCCCTTTAATTGACAATTTTCATATAAAACAAAGCCAAATGGACATCAAAAAATACTTTCATTTAAATATTTTTCACGTGAAAAATTATATCAATCAAACACAATAATTTACATTTCCCAGGAAAACATTTTCCCATCAATTCAATTTCCTGAAATTTGTTTTCTTTCCATCCAAATTCCACATTTGCAATCAAACAGACCCTAAGGGTATGTTTGATACATGAAAATTTTACCTAGAAAATGGAAAATCAATTCCAATTTTCATTTTAAGGGTATTTGATAACTTTTCTTTTCCATGGAATTGCATTTCTTGGTTTCTCACATATATGGTGGGAATAGGTTTTCCTGGGTACTGTAACATTTTTTTCGTTATTTATTTATTTTTTTGGTCAATGGAAACAAATTTTAAGAATTATTGTAAAAAAATATTTCTCTTTAATTGACAATTTCTATGTAAAATAAAGTCAAACGAATACCAAAAGATAGATAATTTTTATTTATTTATTTATTATTATTATTATTATTTGCAATGGAAACAAATTTCATCCCCAATACCAATAAAATTTATCCATTTAATTGACAATTTTCATATAAAATAAAGTCAAACGAACACTAAAAAACATTTTTATTTCAACATTTTTCACGTGAAAAATTATATCAATCAAATACAATAATTTACAATTCTCAGAAAAACAATTTCTATGTAATTTAATTCTCTGGAGTTCGTTTTTTGCTACCCAAATTCCATCTCTGCAATCAAACGGACCCTAAAATTTTTCACTAATTTCAAATACACTTTTAGCCCTTGTTTGAGCCATATTATTTTCATAAGGATGGATTCTTGAATAGTGCATTAATGGAAAATATGTAATTAAAAAATAAGGAAAGTTTTTTGATTTATGTGTAATATTATTTTATTGAAAAAAGTGTAGTTGAAATGACGTCAAATCACTATTTAAAAATGTATATTTTTTTAAAGAATGATGTCAAAATAGTGTTTTTTCTAGGGATGAACGCAGTTCAGTTTGGACGGTTTGCAGTATATTTTCCACTCAAACTATTTTATGCGGTTTAAAATTTTTTCAAACTAAACCAAACCATTTTACTTTTTGAACCAAACCATAATTTGCAGTTGATTCGATTTTAATCCGCGATTTATCTATTGACATTATAGTAATATATTTAACATAAGTTAAATATAAATTTAAACGAGAACTTATAATGTTAAATATTATATTACATTCATATTCACCATGAAATATATGAATAAATTATTTTCAAAGTTGGTTGTTAAAAGATGTTAATAGAACGAATACATCTTTTCTTCATTTTTAATTACCTTTCCTTGTTTGACATTTATATTGTCATATAGCGGTTAATAAAGGTAAAGTTACATTATGCTATTATGGTTTGGTTAAAACTCTTTTCGTCTTACTAGCGAGATGTTAAATAAGGATTGAACGAGATATGTTTAGACGTATAAAGATTGATAGAGTTCGGCTTATAGGAAATTGACGAATTTCATCCTCTAGCTATTTCATAAAAGTAGAAGATAGTAGTTCTAGTTAAGGAACTTTAACATTTCCACATAATTAATACGCTTTGTCCTTCGTTCTTTCCAAATCACAAACAAGTTTATTAATCATCTAGGCACGCGAACATTCATTTTTATATCCAAACTACAACTTACAGGTGTATAATAAATTCAAAAAAACAAACAAAAGAAAGAACAACGGGAAAATGGTTTGAATAAGAATATGAGACTTGCTGAAAGAAAGGAGAGAAAGAGGCAATTCAAGTAGATATTAGTAGACTAACAGGTAAATGTGACTGACAATTTGTTTAGTAGTAGCAAACAATCGTCAAATGTTAGGGAAATGAGAATTTATGTTAAGGCTTCTGAAACTTTGGACGTGATTTGTTGATGTAGTTTTGTTGAATTATGATTTAGATTGTTGAATATATATATATATATATATATATATATATATATTTTCATTTCATATGATTTTGGAATAGTTTTAATTTACTTTAAATATCGGGTGAGTACACGTGTTGTCAACCTGTTAAATCATAGGTCAATAATGATGAACCTAATTTACGTTCTATAATTATTTCAATATGCTGGTTGTAAATTGTATTGCAAAATTGGTATTTTTTTTTTTTTTGAAAAGTGAAATTGTAAAATTTTTAAGTTAATAAAATTAATGTTTTAATTAAAAAATTAAAAAATGGTTTGGTTTGGTTTTTTGCAGTTTTTGAAAATCAAAACATAAACCAAATCATTTTGAAACGGTTTGATGGACAAGAAACCATGGGTCGACGTGGACCTAAACCAACGGTTTCAACTCAACGGTTTCGATTCGGTTTGCTATTTTGTGGTTTTTTTGTGCAGCCCTAATTTTCTAATTTTTTTTACTTTAATTTTTTAAAATGAATTTTGTAACATGTGCTATATTGTGTCGCACATTTTGCCACTTATTTTCATTGTAGTCACCGCCACTTGTAACAATGCGTTATACACTCTTTTTCTGTGTCTATTTTCACCGCTAATTTGATTGTCACTGCCACCATCATTATACCTACTTGCAATACTTAGCGTTACACAATCACCTCCACAACCACCACTTTTAACATTCATTGTCACACTACCATCATTGTTGTCATCACCATTTGTAACATTCATTATTACACGACCACCATCACCCACTTGTCTACTTAAAAGTAACTACAAAGAAATTGCCAAATCTACCATCGAATCCACCACCATAGCTACCACCAGTAATGCAACCCCAACACAAATACCAAATTAATAAATTTCAAATTCACCAAGTAATAACAAACAAAAAATCAGAAAAACAAGTTCAAAACCTCTGTACGGGATTTCGAATTTCAGAACTTAGAAGTGCGTTTTCAGATCCAAAGAGATGGTGGATTTGGATATATGGTTGAGTATGCAATTTCAAATTTCAAATCTTGGGGGTTTCTTTGTGTTGGTGGCGCCATTGAGGTTAAGTGACGGTAGTGCTGCAATGATGGTGTTTCAGATTCGGGATGATTGGTGTGACATGGTGGTTATGGTGACCAGTCGCAGAATCAGAATC